TCGAGCAGGGGTTAACTCTTCGTTGTGGTGCATGGGCCTCACTGTGGAGGCTTCTCCCGTGGGGGAGCACAGGCTCCAGGCACGCGGGCTTCAGCAGTTGTGGCACACGGGTTCAGTTGCTCTGCGGCATGTGGGATCTTCCTGGACCAGGGCTGAAACCCATGTCCCCTACATTGGCAGGTGGATTCTTAACCACCGCACCACCAGGGAAGCCCCCTTCTTCCAGTTTTTGAACAGTTAACAGAGATTAACTTTCCTGTAATGATATAGCAAATGCATCGTGGAAATTAGGGTTCTTTATAATGAGGAGGCTGAAGGCTCGGCAAGCAGCATGCTCTCTCTCTCTCTCTCTTTCTAATGCACACACAGTACAACAGGCCACTCAGGAGTCCAAGAGCCTTTACACTGAGCTGCAGTTGAAGGAAAGAGTACTTCCAAAAATATACAATAAGGTCTCAGCTTCAAAGTTTATGGCACACACAAGAGGGCTGTAAAAGAGATGCAGAGATCTTTTGTGACCAGGTTAAGGACTGAATACTGGAAGGAGCAAAGAGCAAGGTAGCAGGGATTTGGGGAAAAAGAAAAGAAAGAATGAGAGAGAGTATAGTATTTAAATCTGGAGATGAAATATTCAGAAGAGGTCTGTGTGATACGTGAGATTGAATACTGTTAAGGCTTTTCATTTTCCAAAAGCGTCTTATAAAGGAAAGATTATATCTGCAAAAGACCTTGGTAGGAAGGACATAAAATGCCACAAAAGCTGCAGTCCGCGTGTCTTAAAGTATTATGTATTACACTTGGAAGTAAAGAGAGGGCAAGGGGAAGAAGGGTTGAGACAGAGGAGAAGCGTGGTGGAAAAAAAAAAAAATACTATTTGGAAAAATGGACCCGGCTGAGAGATTTGCCACAGAGTTCTTATTCTGGTTTACCTTATACTTTTTGTTACTTGTTACAAGTGGACATTTTAACCTGACTTAGGCCTTCTGCTGTTTGGAGTCTGTTTATAAACTCCTCCCCTAACCCCACCCCAGTAGATGTTTGGCTGTAAGTTTATTGCCCCAAAATTAAATGGCTGATATTTAGGAAAGGAATTTATTTATAAATTATAAGTCTGTTTTATATATTTATTAAATGAATCTATTTCATTTTTGATTCAGTTCCTGATGTGTTGGTTCTGAGAATGTGATTATTTCCAAGTGGTGAATAACTTCACTTTATTAATGACTCAAGGATTTAGTTTAATGATAATTTTAAAATTTCTTTCAAAAAATTTGGAAAAATGCTACCTTGATTAGGCTATGCTCTTCAATAAAAGGCTTTAGAAATAACAAAGGACTTGATAAGAAAAATACCCTTTTATGGTCATGTTACTGAAAAAATACAGACTAATATTCAGCATTTACTGAACTTTAAGCTTGTTTTAAATTATCTTTCTCATTGCAGGTAATGCTTTACAGGCAAGGGGAATTGCATTTTAATTGTTGATCCTCTCCTTTTGGTAGCCAGGGGCTGTCAAACACTTACAGAAGATGTTTTTGTTGAAACAGTTGAATGAGTGCTCCTTTAAGATTACTCATATTCTGGTCCAAAACATTCCAAGTAAGACATATTTCAAGTGTTAGAAAATCTTACAAAAACTTAAGAATGAGAAGGGATAGAGACTTGAATTTAGCAATGCAGCTAAGGTGTTCAGATTTTTCCTTTGTAACTCCCAGGGGAAGGAAGGAGTTATGTGCTCACAGTAGAATTTCACAAGATAGTTGGGGGAAGAGAATTTATTTGTAAGGAATCATAACTTTTTTACAGTTGCCCAAGATTAGGTTATGTTTTAATGTCATCTCTTTTGGCAAGTTCAATTATTATAGCTGAGGCAAGTTTAAGAATACACTAGGCCATACTCTGTTTTCTTTCAAGCTTTTTCAAGATGTTAAAGGTAATACAGGACCAGATTGGCAGCACTGCAATTTGATTTTATCATATGACACCATAGCAGGATAGCTTTTTATCTATAGTAGTTGACTGTTTCTTTGCCATAGTTCTTCATGTGGGATCCTACAAGACATAAACTGAATTGCATTTAAAGACAGCCGTTAGAAGAAAGTACATCAGTAGTGTTTCTTGTCTATAATGTTTAGAGAGAAGAAAGGGAAACATAATTTTGACAAATCTGGAGACATTTAGACATCAGTGTAATGGAAGAACTTTTGCAAAATAAAATTCAGCATATACCTTGTACGAAACCAAAGATCTCTGAAAAGTGCTTGTAAAAATATCATGTCATTTAATACTCTTTAAACATGACATAGTCATCTGAGATTGAAATATTCTTACATTTTTTTCATTTCCCTGAGGCATTCTTCAGCTCTGGACAACTAGTTTCTTAATATCCCAATTACTGAAAAGGAACTAGGGTAGTTCCTCAACAGTTCTTAATACTATTTTATAATTTTTAGAGGGGAATGTAACATCTAGGGAACTCTTGAGGAGATTGTGCTAGATACTTCGTATAAGTAACACAGTTAGTCTTTACCACAACCTTATTAGGTAGCTACTGTCACCTCCATTTTACGGGGGAGGAAACAGGCTTAGCGAATGTGAGTGATCCAGACCTTGGTAGGACTGTCATGTTTCTTCAGAGCATTTTATTAATGCTTTCATTATATTATTTGATCCTTGCAGCACATTTTTTCATCTTGCAGTTCTACAGATGACCACACTGAGGACCAGAGAGATAAAATGACTTTTGCCGAAGGTCATATTTGAGTAGTTTCAGGAATAGTAAGATCTGGGGGGAGATGTGGACTTACTGTGGAATTTTCTGAGATGCTCAAGACATTCTTAAGGATGCTTCGTTGTTGTTATTCATGTATTGGAATTGTCAGTTGAGGAGATAAGTGATCTGTAACATGGATGCTGTGACAGCAGGTTGGTCTAAACTGAAAGTAATTGAATAAAACCGTCTTGAATACAGAGACTGCAACTTTCAATTTAGTAATCTGATTCAATAAAGTATATATGTAGAAAGATTTTTATTACAGTGTTTTGTTTTTTTTTTTTTTTTTTTTTTTTTTTGGGATGGCGGGGCCTCTTGGCCATCTATATGTCTTCTTTGGAGAAATGTTGATTTAGGTCTTCTGCCCATTTTTTGATTGGGTTTTGTTTTTGTTTTTTTTGTGGTCCGCAGGCCTCTCACTGCTGTGGCCTCTCCCGTTGTGGAGCACAGGCTCCGGACACGCAGGCCCAGTGGCCATGGCTCAGGGGCCCAGCCGCTCCGCGGCATGTGGGATCTTCCCGGACCAGGGCACGAACCCGTGTCCCCTGCATCGGCAGGCGGGCTCTCAACCACTGCGCCACCAGGGAAGCCCCATACAGTGTTGTTTTTAATAGTTAAAAATTGGAACTGTTCTGGATCAAGGGAATAGTTAAGTAAATTGATGTATCTACTTGATGGAACATTATATAGCTAATAATATGATAAATATAAACACTGTAATATGGAAAATACTGAATGTGCCAAGGGGAAGTAAAGTAGGATATAAACTGTTATATCAGTTAAAGTCATGTAAAAATTATGTAAATATTGATCAGAATTTGAAGAGAACATGAATAAGTGAAAACAGTTTTTTGGTTGAGTGGTGAGTTTATGGTGAACTTCTGGGTAGAATTTTATTAGTGTTCTTTTGTTATGTTATTTGGGTAATAAAAAAATTGAACCATATAACATAAGGATATATTCAGTACAACCAAAATAAATATATTAAGAACAGGGATTCCCTGGTGGCGCAGTGGTTAAGAATCCGCCTGCCAATGCAGGAGACATGGGTTCGAGCCCTGGTCCGGGAAGATCCCACATGCTGCGGAGCAGCTAAGCCCGTGCGCCACAACTACTGAGTCTGCGCTCTAGAGCCCGCGAGCCACAACTGCTGAGCCAGCATGCCACAACTACTGAAGCCCGTGTGCCTAGAGCCCGTGCTCGGCAACAAGAGAAGCCACCGCAATAAGAAGCCTGCGCACCGCAACGAAGAGTAGCCCCTGCTCACCACAACTAGAGAAAGCCCACAGGCAGCAATGAAGACCCAACGCAGCCAAAAATAAATAAATAAAATAATTACATTTATTAAAAAAATATGTATATATATATATTAAGGACGGACCCAATGGACTTTAAATGCAGTATATTATATTGATACTTAAACAAAACATTTCCTTGAAAATAATTAGAAAAAATGCAATTTCCAAAATATTTTCTTTCAGCAAATTATCTTTTTGCAAAGGAAGCTGAAGTGTGTATAAACTAAAAATAGAATCTTGGACTTAGCAATAAAGAGAAGGGTACAGATTGTTTTACTGGTTGAACCATTGGCAGTTGTGGGAAATCATCTCAAATGACATGGCATAAAAATGAGTATATTCTGTATTGTTAGAAATATGTCCTTGTGATTGTATTAAATTAAGTCAGTAAACCTTTGCAGACAAATTGGGTAGCATTTTCTCTGGCCATTTGACACTCGGGTTCTTAGTTAATCTTGCTGGTTTTGATAAAAGCTAATTCTTAATTGCTTAGGAATATCAAAATATTGAGGTTTGCAGTTTCTGTTCTTAATGTATTTTAATGGCACTGGGTCTCTTTGTCAAAAATGCAAGAACTTTATTCAGCGCATATCTATCTCTGCAGTTTAAAAGCCCTCATTTACCCAGAAATCATAGGTTGAACAGTATTTTCACTGGAGAGCTGTAAGATTAATTCTCCTCATGAATTTGCAGTGATCCTACCAGACTATATAGGCTGTAGTAGGTTAGGTATGTTGATTGTCCCATGTTTTTTCTTGGCTTTATGCATGTCATGGACAGAACTGAAACATCACTGCCTTCCTCTAGTAGTTCTAGTTATTCTTCTGGTATGAAAGAAGTCATGCTTGGGATAGTGTGCTGATGATAAAATTGAGAAAAATGTGTATCGAATGTTACGCGGTTAATGATGGCTGTTCTTTTCATGACAGTGCTGGGAGAAGGACTGGCCGAGGGAGATGGTACCTTTCAAGCAGTGCTTTGCTGCATGCAGCTTAAAGGAAAGCTCCAACCTGTATCCAGCATTCTTGCCAAGTCACTGACAGGAGAGTCCCTGGTATGTTGATGAGTTCTAAATTTGAATATCTGAAAAGGGATTCATCCATTTGACTCCTTAGGTGTATTACCTACGTTCCTCCAGGTTCTGTCAGAAATCAAAGTTTGTAAGTATCTTGAGATGCTTATTTCTCTTCAACAAACTGATCTTTAATCATTGGATTCTTGTAGTTTGTGATAATATATATAAGAATTGCAGATATTTTTTAAGCTTTGAAAGTATAGAATAACTAAATGATTTTCTTTAAAGGTATAATTTAACAGAACCTGGAAATATTTTTGAATTTTAAAATGCTCCTGTGGACATATGATCTTATAGGGTTCTTAAATTCAACAGTTTATTTTATAAAATGCTTAAGTTTATCTAAACTAAGTAATAATTACTTTTGTTTCTGAAGATGTCATATGTGTAAGTTAATATTCATGACTGCTCTGATGGAGTTACCTAATTCTTTTCAGACTTTGGGATAAATGTTTGTATGTAGTATATAATTTTTGAGAGTTTTTGTTTGTTTTTGGCTGAGATAATTGAAAGACTTCTTTTTTTGTACTTTAGAGTTGGCAATCTATAGAAATTGGAAGAAAAGAGATATTATAACTTTTTTTTACCAGTTGGTAACTGTTACAGAATTGGCTGATATTTTTCAGGAATCATAATGAAAAACAGTGAAAGCAAGAAAATATATGTATACTTTGTTATACAGCATGAATTCTCTATACGTTTATTCTGAATTAACATAACTTGTGGAAAGCAGGAGCAAAGTTGTGTTTTCACTGCAAATAAATATATATTGGGTAAAAAAAAAATTGGAAATTAGGAAAGTACTTTGTATATTGTTGAGTGCAATGTAATGACCCGTCTCAGAGGGTAGTTTAGTTATTTTCTAAGGAATTAGTTTGCTGTGAATTGTTTAGTTGGTTTAACAATATTTTTGGATGTCACCATTTTAACAAATGAATATAAAAGCTAAGATGTGTTATTAATATAGCAAAATTGTATGGGTATTTAGTTCTAAATAGATGATAAAGAATAGCTCTCTTCTTTATTATTTAGATAATTCTATCCTTAAGGAACTTTTCTATATAAGTTAAGCATGTTACACAGTTTTGCCTGTTGGATTTTTACTTATTTTATTATTTTTTAATGTATTGGGGTATAATTGCTTCACAGTGTTGTGCTAGTTTCTGCTGTACAGCGAAGTGAAATAGCCACACATATTCCCCCCGACCCCAACTTCTGGATTTCCCTCCCATCTAGGTCACCACAGAGCATAGAGTAGTAGTCACCACAGAGCTGTACAGCAGGCTCTCAGCTAGTTTTATGTTCCATACACAGCAGTGTATACATGTCAGTCCTAATCTCCCAATTCATCCCACCCTCCCTTTCCCCCCTTGGTGTCCATACGTTTGTTCTCTACGTCTGTGTCTCTATTTCTGCTTTGCAGATAGGTTCATCTGTACCACTTTTCTCGATTCCACATATATGCATTAATATATGGTATTTGTTTTTCTCTTTCTGACTTACTTCACTCTGTATGACAGTCTCTAGGTCCATCCACATCTCTACAAATGACCCAGTTTCATTCCTTTTAATGTCGGAGTAATATTCCGTTGTATATATGTACCACGTCTTCTTTATCCATTCATCTGTTGATGGACATTTAGGTTGCTTCCATGACGTGGCTATTGTAAACAGTGCTGCAATGAACATTGTGGTACATGACTCTTTCTGAATTATGGTTTTCTCAGGGTATATGCCCAGGAGTGGGATTGGTGGGTCATACGGTAGTTCTATTCTTAGTTTTTTAAGGAACCTCCATACTGTTCTCCATAGTGGCTGTATCAACTTACATTCCCACCAACAGTGTAGGAGGGTTCCCTTTTCTCCACACCCTCTCCAGCATTTATTGTTTGTAGATTTTTAAATTTAAAATTAGGAAGAAGCAATTTGCTTTCAAATCTCAAGTGAAATTTGAATTTCAGAAGAGTGAATGTCTTATATATTTTCCTTCAACAGCTTTGTTAATGAACCATCTTTAGGTAGTGTGATCATTGTATGTGAATCTGAGTCATAAGTAACTGAGTTCACCATTTTGTAAATCTAGCCTATTAGTTTTAGGAAAAAGGAGTTTTAAAAAGTTGAGGTTAAAAAAAAAAAGTTGAGGTTTATTTTTTTCTTTACTTACTCTATCTTGCTCTCCAGTGATACCCTTTGTGAATATTTTATTGAATTAATCTTAAATTCTTAGGCAAGGTGAATACAGTGTTTTAGGGCACACTGTATCTTTTGTCCTGTTAATCTTTTTAACTTTGCACATAGGTGGTTAGCTTTGTCATCACCTCTATGATGGTAATGGTAATGAGGATGGGAGATGAGCATAGCATCGGTTTTCTTTTTACAGATGAACCTTAGAAACAGCTGAAGAGTTAAGTCCCCATAGTAAAGAACTAATACACTACTTGGTTTTTCCGTTTTTCATTTGCCGTTTCAGAATGGGATGGTAACAAAAGATTTGACAAGACTAAAAATACTTCTCACAGAAACGGAGGTAAGACTATTTCAGTGGATCTCTTTAGGAAGAGTTTAACTCAGTCTGGCTAGTATGTATTCTTTATTAAAATTTGGAAAATCACTGGGCATCAGCAAGGCTTTAAAGATGGGGCACTGCAACCTTTAGACTTTCTGTAACCAGGCTTGGTCCCATCCTAGGAACTTTGCTTCCTATCAACGTGCCTCTGCATCCCAGGTCTTCTGTTTTGTCCCTAAGTTTTGTTAGCTGTCTCTGGCCAATAAATGGAAAGATAATGGGGAAATTTTAGTTTTTAACTACATCTGGCTATTAGAAAATTCTGTTATTAAAAGTGAGATACTCCTCAAGCTTTCTGTGTTTTTAAGTAACTAATGGAAGTCTGTGATTTGAGGAGTTTTTTTAGGGAGTGAGTTTAGCTGATGGAAATAATGTGTATCAGGGTAAATGGTGAACAAAAATGTGCTCTGGTGAAGCACTTGAAGGCCGGGGACAGCAGTGGCATGTAAAAGGCCCGTGGCTTTGTAAGTCTCAAATTTCTATTCCTCATACAGGCATATAAAAGTATTTTTATTTAGATGTCTCATTTTAAAAATAGCCATTTTTGTCAGTTTTTATCATAAATGGAAGCCCATGTAAAGTGATCGATTGATTGGCTTATTTATTTAAAAAGTGGCACCTACTGTGTGCTAGGTATTATGCTTGGTGCTGAGGATACAGCGCTGAACAAGACACTCGTGGTCCTTGTCGTCTGGGAGGTTAGAGTCTTGGGGAGGAGATAGACAATAAATACATAAATTAATTAAACAAGTAGAGGTATAATTCGCATTGAGGTAAGTGGTATGAGGGAAAAGAATAAGCTTTCTGTGATGGAAGAATAACTGGCATGGTGGTGAGGGGACGAGACACTTAAGCTGAGTTGAGAATGGAGAAGGTGCTGGTCTCGCGGAGAGTGCGATAAGGGTGCTCCCATCAGGCCAAGAGGATGAGAAGAGCCCCCAGGTGTAAACCTTGACCACCTGTAGATTACTTTCCCACTTCAAATCTAATCATACATCGCAGTTCATACCAACAAATAAGTAAGCAAAGAAGATAGTCATCGTGAATTATATAAGCTGCATAAAGATACTGTTTGTTTTGCTACAATTAAATATAGCCTTTTAAAAAATGTTATTTTCTTAGTCTTATGTTATCTTATTATGAATTAACTGAGACTCAATAAGCTCTAATTAACTTCAAAGCCATTCCCCTTCTGGTATATATGTAGTCTTTTAATTTCTAAGAAGTAAAATATGACCATTATAAGTGTTTTAGACTTTTAAACTGAGAACATGAAATAAGATGATTTGGGGCCTTGTTCTCCTCTTTTATTACCTTAGTTGAATTAGCAGCTTTACACATGATAATCACACACAAATATGTATAAAATTTTACTTTTAATATTTATAATCCTGTTATGTATAAGGTCACAAATATCACTTGACTCTCATTTTGTGGCTGTACTTTTGGAATAAGTGACTTAAATTTTGTTTATAATTTCTTTTCTGTGTAACCAGAGTAGTAGTATTTTTGGTTAGTGAACTGGTACTATTAAAAAATCCATCTAGAAAAAGCTAACAAACAATGATACCCTTACTTATTATTGCACCTGACGTATTTATTTATTTATTTATTTTTTCCTTGCGTTATGCGGGCCTCTCACTGTTGTGGCCTCTCCCATTTGCGGAGCACAGGCTCCGGACGCGCAGGCTCAGTGGCCATGGCTCACGGGCCCAGCCGCTCCGCGGCATGTGGGATCTTCCCGAAACGGGGCACGAACCCGCGTCTCCTGCATCGGCAGGCGGACTCTCAAGCACTGCGCCACCAGGGAAGCCCGCACCTGACGTATTTAAAAACAGCAACAATTTGTTATTTAAAGATTGGGCTGAGCTGATGTTTAACTTGTAAATGCTGGTGGATTAGAATAAAGACATGGAGCTAAAGGCTGACTAATGAAAAGAAAAACAACACATATTCTTTAGAAAAATTTCAAATATCCAATCAATAGATTTGATTGTAAACTTACAGGAATTCTAGCAGTGTGAACTTTGGCTGCCTTCCCTGAAGGTCTCAGTAAAGACTGAAGATCACAAACGTAATTGCTGTTGCCTTTCTGTCTTAGGGTCTGAGCATATAAAAAGGGTGTTAAAAAAACAAAACTAAACACAATACCTGGAAACGAAAAGCCACAGTGGCCAAATATTCAGCCCAGGCTTGAGCTTCTCATTTTTACCACCTCTTCTGATGAGGATGTGCTGTTCACCAGACCCCACCAGACTGAGAACTACAGTGTCAGCACATGCATACTCTGCCCGTTTGCAGATTGTTGTAGATGCTGACTCACGAAATACACCACGTATGTTTCCCTTCTGACAGTTATAAATGCTTTAAGCTTTATTTCATTACCAAAACATTTTTTCCCCATTTTTTTCCTCACATATTTGGTAAATTTATTTTGATAAATTTTTTTAGAGGAGATACTTTCAATTCCTACTTGAAGTGAATTTTTAGCTCTTATAAATTCTGTGTAGTTAGAATCATATTTTAAGGGCTAGTGTGGGACTATGCTGCTTAGATCTTGCTTATAGAATTTTAAAGGATCTTTTAATATACCTTTTTGGTGGGCATAGAGACCTTATAATGTTAATAATTACTCCTGATTTATTTGTTAGCTTATGTATTCTTGTATTCAGTCCTCATTTTACAAAAAGAATGGGTTGTCTTTAAAAACTTGTTATTAAGTAGTTTGAGAATCAGAAGGCATTTTCCTGTTGAAACAGTATTATGGTGATTTAGTTTCAGCCCAACCTAAAAAGGGTCCAGTTTAATCAGTGACATGTAAATTATGGTGATATTATAGTTTCAGTTATACCCAATTAGCATTTATGCCATTCTTTCTATGGTACAAGACATTCCAAATATCATCTTGGGATACGGTTTCCTCCTTCTCATTCAGTTCAACATTTACTGAGTGCGTGTGCTGTTCAAGGTTCTTTGGGTTTTGGAAAGCTGAGAAATCCATGAAAAACAATCTGAAGGGCCAGCCCAAGATGTGCATAGCTAATGTACCCACAGGGCAGCCTGTGGTCAGTAGGTTCTGTAATGGAAGTACAAGCAGGGAACGGAGAGATAAATACCCTGCAGGGAAACCAGGGAGGCTAGTGTCAGAACTGAAGTTAAAGGATAGAGGCGGCTAAGTAAAGACCCAGGAGTGACTTGGAACAGTAAGTTGGCAGTCAGTTGGCTCAGGGGTAGATGAGACAAGTAGTAATGATGCTCTTACCTAGGATAGTGGCAGGGGGCGTTGAGTATGAGACAGACGTGAGAGGCATTCTAGACCTGGTTGGGCAAAGATTTGGAGAATACTCGGAGCAGGACAGAGTCTGACTTTCAGGGTTTCAGCCTGGCTCTTTTGGGGGATGATGAGTCCATTAACTTGAGATAAGCAGCACTGAAGGAAGATGAGACTTGGGGTTAAAGTTGATGAATTTTATTTAAACATACTGTGTTTGAAGTGCATGGGTGGTCATCCATCCATCTACCCATCCACCCATCCATCCAGATTTACTGAGCATTCATTATGTGCCAGATCCTCTGAGGTGCAGGAA